TACTACTTACGTACGTACGTACCTTCCTTACTTACTTACTACTACGTTACGTTTACGTTAGGTACGTTCGTTCGTCGTTCGGGTAGGTAGTATCTCTACACGTCGTCTCTCTCTCTCTCTCTCTCTCTCTCTCTCTCTCTCTCTCTTCTCTCTCTCTCTCTCTATGAAGTAAAAAAAAAAAATTGGGGTGCTTTGATTATGTTGTGGTTAAATATATTCTGGAGATATCCATTTTCCTGGAGAGACGGATAATATATCCCGGTACATTTTCTTGGAGAGACGGATAATATATCCCGTTACAGCGGCATCTTGATACCACCTGGAAGGGTAAAAAACACGGAATCAAATTCAAAAATTGGATCTATGTCCAACAGATCACACCTATCAAGAAAAAGTATACGATCATTCTTGTGGCCTTTGTCAATGGCTTGAGTTTTACATAATTTTGACTTTCTTAGAGAAACTAAGAAAATTAATTACTGAAAAGAAGTTTCAAAAAATTGAATCGAAAATTATACAAATTCGAAAACAAAAAGAGGAAGGAAAAAGTTCCTTAATATTTTTTGGAATTTAGTTTCCTCTAATATTATCGTAAGTTGTTTACCTTATTCTTTTTTCCTAACTCAACTTTAATTAAAATTTTATTCTCCCAAAAATAGCCATGATGAGAACAAAGGAAATATTGCGATGTTGAGGGGAGTGTAGCTTTTCCAAGGGGCTAGAAAAGTTCATCCCATGGACAAACTATACCATTGAAAAGCGATGAAGTTATGCTTTTCACAAAGTAACATTGGCGTGTATTCATGCTTAGGTTATTGGTTTGGATTGGTGATTTTTAAACCATTAGGTGTATTTGATACATGGGTGACAATTACTTTCCATGTTAGTTTGCCCACCTAATGTCAAATGAGTGTATAGCTGATGAGGACATCATGGGACTAAGGTTTTATTTTTCCTTTTCCATTTTTTTGGCGAGTGAAATCATAGGTTATTGGTCTTTTAATTTAGTTTAGTTACATAAGGGTATTTATGTGTCTCTCTCTTCTTTTTTTTTCTTCTTTTTTTTTAACTTTTTTGGAGAGTGAAAACTTCGGTTAGGGGAAGGAACTCTTTAATTGAAGGATATACTCTTGGTAGCACCTCCTAAGGTCTTCCCTTCCAAGGAGCTCTTCAAGTTTTTCTTTCCCATCTATTTTCTTCTTTTTCTTCCTTTCCCTTCTCACTTTTTTCTTTCCTTTCTTTTCCTTCTTACTTATTTTCTTTCCTTCTATTTCTTTCTTTCTTTTTTCTTTGCCTTCTTTCTTATTTTATTTCCTTGAATTCTTTATTATTCTTCCTCATTTCTCATTTTTCTCTTTCTCCCTGGTTTTTCCTATTTAGTTTAAATCTAATTATCTATTTTAGCATAACCCTCCTAAATAGTAAACATTTTCCTTGAAAAAACCTAATAAAACCTTAAAAATTAATTGTTAGGTTTTCCCTAGAATTAATCATAGATAAAATAACTTGAAACCTTAACCCTAATTTCATATCTACAGTCAAAATTCTGATTTGTTGTACACAATTAACTTTAAAACTTTGGAACTAGTTTTCCAGATCTTCTGGAATTAATTTAAAATTATTCTACACAACTTCTTTACTACAACTATAGTAACTTTAAATTTGATTGGGATAGAATTTTTTTTTGGAGGCGGATTTTGTATGAGGACCGACCTCAATCAATTACAGATTCAAAATATCCTCTCCTGGACATTAAAACAAAATTCTTAAAATTGCAGCTTGATTTACACAAGTTTGTTTATTTTAATTTTGTGGATGATTGCCTGCTGAAATTGTAGATATTTAGAATTATTTGAATTTAAAGTGTTCTCAAAGCATCTTTTAGGGTCTTGTAATCAAAGATTAGTGGGTGTGCTTTTAGGTGGAGTCAGGTGCATACTCTTGCAGGGACACACTATACACTTGCTTCCTTGGGAAAAGAGTCACTTGAGGATTTTCTTTCTTTTTTACATTTTTGGGTTAAATTTTGGGATCCAATTCATAATATTACATGAGTACTTACATGAGAAGAATTGGATTTTGAGTTTTTAAACACTTGGAACTGACCATCAGGAGGTTATTCTTTTTAGGCACATATAGAATGTGCATGGAATTTTTTATTTTTTGAGGTTAGCTGCTATGGTGAGGATGTAATATTCCAAAGTTGGGAATGCTTATGGATAGGATTTTACCTGGGAGAAAATGGGTATATGCTCCTGAGTGCATATAATCGTTTGGTATTTTAAATATAGATTTCTACTTCATGATTGGTTGGTTGGGGGACTTCAGATTTTCTTCTAGTACGTAGAGGTAAAATGGGATTATTGGTAAGAAAAAGAACCAAGTGAAGCCTTGAAAGATAACATTGCAAAAGAGAAAACTTATCAGAAATGATAATAAATAGGGACTTGAGATCTTTTTCGTCTATTTTTACTGTGTGAATTTTGCTCTACACCTTTTTCTCCCCCTTAATTACTCTATCTTAATATTTCTTTCCAAGCCCTCTTCTTAAATCCACCTTAAAGATGTATTTATCCTTTATTAATAAAAAACAAGAAACTATTTTCCCCTGTGATCAGTTGTGCTGGTAGGAATTTGTGGAAGACAATGTATATGTAGGCAAAAAAGAGAGTTTGCCATATAACTTATTGATGGGGTTCTTCATTGTTATCCTAAATCTCTCTGTAGATCCTTTACCTTTACCCTAAATTTAGAGGTCTCCAGCCCTATATTTTCACTCTCAATATTTGTTTTTCTATACTCATGAGAGAGTTGGAATTGGGTAGAGAATAAAATAGCACTTTCTAAAATTAGATAAGTGATTATCTTGTGTTTATCGATTGAAAGCTCAATGTGATTTACCCTATACAGTTTGCCTTAAAAGTCCATTCTTTCACATCTGTCCCACCACTTATCTATGACTTAAAACATGAAGAATGGATATGCATGCTTGCAAGCTTACCTACACATAGTGGATCAAAGTATACTGTTGAAAAATGACCAATTTGTATCTTCACAAACTGTGATTTAGATGTATATGCATGCTGATTTTGCAGGCAGAGTTCAAACGCCTCTCCACATCTTTGATGGCCAGCTTCTTTTCAATTACTACTCCTGTTGGAATCGGGATCGGGACCGCCATATCCTCGGTGTACAACACCAATAGCCCAAGAGCATTGGTCGTCGAGGGGATCTTCGACGCCATTTCGGCTGGTATTCTTGTCTACATGGCCCTCGTCGACCTGATTGCAGCTGATTTCTTGAGCAAGAGGATGAGTTGTAACACTCGCCTCCAGGTCTGCTCCTACTTGGCGCTCTTTCTTGGGGCCACTCTGATGTCTCTGCTTGCAATATGGGCGTAAAACAAACATGCAGAAACACATAAATGTGACTGTCCTCGAAAACAGTTAAAATGAGGAGCAAATATCAACTGAGTTCGCCACTTCAATCTCTCGAGATATCAAGAATGGCCACATGAAGGCAAACTCGCTCACAGACCAAGCTGCAAACCAAGTGAGCTTTTAAGGGTTTTGGAGCAACCTCCATGGAGGAGTCTGTTTATGTAATTTGCATCATTCATTCTTTTTGGGTGTGGAAATATTAGTGCTAATGAATATATTGCCTTTACAGCTCTTTTTGTTCTTTTCTTTATTTTGGTTAAATTCTTTGTTGGATCTTTTTCGCTGTGTAAAAGGCATGCAATAAGAAGTTGTATGCAACTACATTTTTATTTCCCCCCTCAATATTTTTTTTTTTTGTTACTTTCGGAGGGGATCTTCAAAATTCATTTTCTTGCATTGGAGAGCAACGTGATGATTGCCGGTACAAGAGCAAGAGATAGATTCATGATTTTAAAAGCCATTATGATGCATATTATTTTTTTAACTACTAATACTTGGTATAAAAAATGGACTTATTTTACTCTGAGAGATACCAGCACTGCCTGCTGGAATGGAGTTTTGTAGTTAAAGAAATGAAGCCGGAAGATTTTATTGTGGTGGTGCATATTTTTTTAAGGGTGTGGGTTGTATAAGGTTGTAACTACTTTTTTTTTTTTGGGTAAATGAGTGGGGGAGAAGTCTCATACCCATTTGTCATTAATAAAAAGAAACAAATTACAGTTCACTATTTTACATCCTTACAATAGGGCAGTTGTGCAACATCATGAAATAAAGGAAAATAAATAAAGTTTGAAGGCATATATTACCAAATAGTTGTAGCTAAAAAGATTGTAGTCTTTTTAGCAAGTATATCAGCTATCATATAAGCCTCGTGGTAGACATGACAAATTAATCATGAACGATTTGAAAGTTTATATTGGCAATTAGTAGTTATTGTATGGAGAGCTCATGGAGAATTGCAGTGACTACTAATGACCTGGACAAGAAGTGATGAATCACTTTCAATCCTTAGGGAGAAACATTCCATTGAAATAGCCAAGTCAACTCCTACTTGCAAGGCATGGAATTTTACATAATTATTTGATGCGACACCAAGGGGGATAGCAAAAGCAGCAAAGAAGGAACCATCGTCCCTTCTGATGACTCCTCACAACTTACCATCCGTAGGTTCTGAAGAGAAGAACTATCAATATTCAACATGAAATGTTTGAGGTGTGGAAATGTCCATGTAGTCGGTATGAGGGACTTGACCATTTGTTATCTCCATGTGACTCGTAGATTTTTTTGCTATTGCCTTCTCTGAGATGTGCTATGACCATGCTTAGGTATTTACTAGTTCTCGAACGTGATTAGTAATCCTCCTTAACGGTTGTTCACATCTGGACTCCTTCCCTTGAAATATATGCCGATTTCATTCTTCCCAAAGTATCCAGATTGCCATAAAAAAAAAAAAAAAATAGAAGGGTTTTCCAAATATTAAGGAATCCATCTGATTTAAATCTAAAGGCTACCCACTTCCTCAATGTAGATGCAATGGATAAGTCTGAAATGAATCTTTTACCATATCTCCACACAACCGATCTCCATATTCGCTACGAAAATGCACAATCACTCTTTGCTGCAAAAGAGAATACGTGGGAAGTCTGTGATGTAGGGATAACCAATAAAACTATTTTGCAGTAGGGTGGCACTTTAAAGGCCCAAATGCTCTGAAAATTGGGTTTGGGGGGGGGGGGGGGGGGGGGTAGGTGTTGAATAAACTGCTATGTCTCCTTAACCGAAAATATCCCAAGAGAGGAATGAGTCCAAATGAGAAAGTCTTATTGTGGTGCCAAAGGGATTGTAATTGCCATGACCTCTTTCCATGCTCGTAGTGAAGGGCCAGATGCACGAGAAGGTAGATGCCAAGTCTGTGGAGAACCATGTATAACTTGCAACCCTGTATTTAGCAAGTAGCCCCAGCTTTCTATGTATCTGATTACCATAAGATCCAATAATAGACCTTTCTGATACCACGGATTTGCACAGAAATCAACCGATTTTCCATCCCTAATAATCCATCTAACATTGTAGCGCAAAAAAGATAGGCTCATCTATAAGCACTTCCAAACATAAGAACAACTTTTCTTATAAACTTCCCATATAGATGAATTCTTGAAATTCCCTTGCTTAAAGAAGTGTGCTATTAGAGATGATGGGTTAGCCAAGACTCTCAATGCCAGTTTCATCATGTATGCACTATTGAACTCAAAAAAATCATGGATCACTAACCCCCCTTCTTCCATAGTGAGACAAACTTTTTGTCACTTGATTAGATGAATCCCTTCCTTACCAGCTGAGCTTGCCCATAAGAAATTGCACTGCAACCTCTCAACCATATTGTTGCCCATGAGAAATTGCATTGCAGCCTCTCAACCATATTGTATGTACGTTTGGGCAAGACAAAAGACAAAATCCCAAAAATAGTCGAAGTGCTGAGTACCGATTTCAACAACTGCAAATGGCCTGCATAATATAACGATAAAGCCTGCCATGACCCTATCTTACTAATGAATTTTCCAATCAAACTGTGACAATGGCCGTTTTTCAAATTCTCATGAAAAAAAGGCAGATCTAAATATCTTACCGGAAGAGATCCTTTACCAAAACCCAACTCCTGCAAGATCATGCGATTAGATGTCTAAGACACTCCAAAGAAGAAGCCCTTAATATTAGCTGTATTCAATTTCTGCCCGTGGTCTTTTCAAAAGATTGAAGAATAGAGATGATAATTATGACAGTTGGATTAGAAGCCCACAAAAACTAACTGCATCGTCGGCATAAAAGAGGTGAGAAACTAAACAAGTCTTTGGGAGATCTGTGTAATTTGGTAGCCGATGACTCTCCTTATGGGAAGGCGGCAATCCTTGGAGATTCAAAAATTTCCCATGAAAATTCCATCCACATGTGACATGATGGAACATGTAAGGGAGGGATCATGCTTGAACAAGTGAGCGCACTTTTGCTGTATGAAAGGCGATGTTTCCCTTTTGGCCGAGAAGGACGCTAGGGATGGTGACTATCTGTCCTCTGGCCGTGCATTGATTGTGGACGATATGAAGCATACAGAGACTTCACCATGGGATCAGGTGGAGAGATGAAATTTAAATACTCTTAAGGCCGAGGAAGGCTATAGGCTGATATTTATGTGGATTCTCTCTCGACAGTTTCAATGGTTGTGGAAGGCAAAGTTTCATGTAAGGGTGCTGATGGTGAAAAGATAGAGGCAACTGTTAAACAATCGCGTATCAAAAAGGGTTCGAAATACCGTATACAAGTGATACACCCTCTGTTTCAGCATGGTAGTTACATAATGAAGTCTATGAAAGCACAAAAAACACTTAAAGATGCACAGTCATCTAGTGGAAGTACGTCTAGCTCTACAAACAAATCTTCCATTACTTGAAATAGCCTTCACAGTAGTCTTAGAACTGTGAAGGCATCACGGTCTATTGAAAACCATGATAGTCATGGCGGGTTGTAAGTCAAATGTAATTTTGAAGCATCATGGCATTTAAAGAACCGTGATGGTTTATCGGACCATCAACGTTCTAACTTTTCAAGTGTGAAGAAAAAATTTTCAACGACCATCATAACTTTTCAAGTGTCGTGATGCCTCTTAACAACCATTACAACTTTTTAAGTATTGTGATGCCTCAAAATTAGACCGCTCATGATCATCACAGTAGTGAGTCTACCGTGATGTCTCCATGGTTCTAAGATTACTGTAAAGGCTATTTTTATCAAAAAACGTAAAAAATGAAGAAAAGTGGTATGGATGAGGTTTTGAAAATTTTTGGATTTATTTACAATAATCCAAAAATTAAGGTATATTTTTTTATAATTTGTCAAATTACAAGGGTATTATGAAAATTTATAAATTGTAGGTCGGATCCATACGGGAAGCCAAGGGACCAAGTCCACATGTGTGGGCCTCACATGGGGGTTATCACGTGGGGCGCAGGGCCATATGTCCCTCACATTGGGATGCTCCATTCAAGCAAATGACTTTAAGGAAAACAATATTTCTTATTTTGAAATGTTTTCTTAGTAAAAATATTTGGTTGAAAACTATTCTATTAAGAAAATCTGTTATGAGTTTTAAGTGGATCTATCTTTGACCAATTTAAATTACTTTGACTTCCTTATTATCCCTTTGTGAGAGAAAAGGAATTTGAGATAATTTTAGAAGATTATGTTTGTGATATAGGTTAACTATCAAAAGATAAAGTTCCTAAAGATTTACTTTAGACCTTGATGGCTGATCTTGAAGATGAATAACTCAGATTAAATATTCTCTATTGCCTCAAATATCACCTAATTATACTATATAATGTTAAGCTCCTAATATATCTGGGACTTCCTAAGCCCTAAAAGTCTACAAATAGAGGAGATCCCCCCTCATTAATTACATCAGACCTCTACCTTCTCTTTCTCCTTTCCACGTGCCTCTCTAATCCCCCCTCTTTCTGTCTCTTTTCAAAGGGACATGTCACACCCAACATAAAGAAGAGAGGAAAGAGGGGGCACACTCGGCCTTACCTTGAGCTTTATGGGAGGTGCCAATTGTGGCATGCCCTAAGGTTAAAAAAAGGGTTCAATGTGAAACTTTAATTGTGACCCTAGCTCTTTTGCCCCATAAGTTTTAAAAAAAGAGTTTCAGAGGTGCTTCTCAATTCATATTGGTTGATTCAATTGGTTTGAAGATCAGATGCACTATAAGTCAGGTGATTAAATGTGGGGCATGCTAAGCACTACGGGGGTAACCCTAAGGAAAAGTTAGTAAGTTATTTTTCACATTTGTTTGTTTTTGTTTACTGTTGTTGTCGCTTATTTTATTTCTTAAAATTGTTCCTTTAGATTAAAATTGAATAGAGTTTATTTGTTGGCATTGTAAGGTGGCTTATTTTATTATAATTGTGGCACCTGTAAGTAGAATTTTCAGTAATTAGTAAAAAAAAATAAAGAAAATTTTGAATTTACATCTTATAATTCTATATTGCCACTTCTTTCACTATTTTGATAAATTTTGAGGCTCGTGAACTTTGGCATGAGGTGGGGACAATGGATCAAAAAGTGCTTGTCATTGCCTCAATTCTCTATATTAATCAACGTTAAGGCTTATGGATATTTTAAGGCCCCTAGAGGACTGAGACTGGGAGACCCTCTATCCCTTTTTCTTTGCATCATCATGATAGAGTCTTTTC